GTGGGGGTAAGGGTGTGGGGTCCGGTCCATCAGAGCATCCCTGGTCCAATCTCTAGAGGAGATTGTCCTCTGACCTCCCTTTGTAACTTGGCAGTACTTCTAGCCTCCCCCCACCCACCCCCCTCACTCTTACTGTGATGACAGTTCCTTCTTATTTACTGTCCTGAGTTTGTTTCTTGTTGGTGGGGTTCTTGGTGGTGGGATCCTCACTCAGTGGTCTTTTCTGGAGAACCCACATCACTAGACATGCCTCTTCCCTTCTCCCTGGTACCCAGACTCCCCCTTGCCTGCAGCTTTCCCCCTGGTGTGTTCCTGCAGCTTTTGTCTCTCTCCCCATCACCCTTCTGGCCCTTCTCATGGTCTCCCAGTTAACTGGAGCTAGGGGTCCCCACTTTTCATATCACAGACTATCCCACTGCCTTGCTCATCACAGTTAGAGTGGTAAACACCCCTCTCTCTTCCCTTAGACTCAAAGTTCTCTGGCTCACAGCCTCTCAGCCCTGCAGCATCGTGGATGTAGAGGTATGACCGCCACCCCACCCCGCTGCCGCCCCCTTAGTGGGGAGCGGGGAATAGAGTAGTAGTGCCCGTCCCTTGTTTCCAGGTCCTGATGAGAGCTGTGTCTGTGTTTCAGTTCCTGCCGGTCTATCAGCCCAGCCCTGAGGAGAGTAAGGACCCCACCCTTTATGCCAACAATGTGCAGAGAGTCATGGCACAGTGAGTATTACAAGTATTTCCTGGTATTCCACAAAGTATTTCCTGGAGCAGTTATGCAGAGCAGAGGAACCACAGAAGGGGCAGGAGGTTTTGAGGCCAAGATAAGGGATAGTGGGGAAGGGCCGTGCGGCAGACAGCTGAGGCAAGGGGGAGAAAAGATGGAGACGGACCATTTCCGTCAGACCGGGTGCACTGGAACCCCGGCAGTTTCTTGCACTACCTTCCCCCTTGATCTCCATCCCTCTTTGTCCTGCAGGGCCCTGGGCATTCCAGCCACCGAATGTGAGTTTGTAGGGAGCTTACCTGTGATTGTGGTGGGCCAGCTGAAGGTAGCATTGGAGCCACGGCTCTGGGAACTGGGAAAGGTGCTACAGAAGGCTGGGTAAGTTCCCTTGAAGGTGAGGGTCTGAGCAGTGTGCCCCAGATAGAGAAAGTTCCAAAGGGAAAACGGAGGAGGAAGTGCCGTGCTGGATTTGATCCTCCGTACAGAGGGTGGGAGGACAGCCGCTGAGCCCACGCTGGGAGCCTAGTGCTGGGGGGCAAGGTTGGGCGTGGCGGATCCAGAAAGAAACCGAGTCAGCTCGCTGCTGTCCCTTCCACCGTAGGCTGTCCCCTGGCTGCGTGGACACAGGGGCAGAGCCAGGCCGGAGTCGAATGATCAGCCAAGAGGCATTTGCCCAGCAGCTACAGCTCTCAGATCCTCAGACAGTGGCTGGTGCCTTCAGCTACTTCCAGGAGGTAATGGAGCTAGAACCCAGGGCAAAATGGATGACTTGCCCTCCAAGCCAACAAGCTCGGGATTCAGAGATGAAGTTCTAGTGAACATGTCGGTTTTGGCAAACTGTGTTTCCAGAAATAGAACCAAGTATCCTGTCAAATTGTAATTCTAGTTTGCTGGCTCGATTGCAAGTCTGTTCTGCACAGTCTAATAACCCTCGTAAATGGCCGGCTACAAGATGTACTGGGACAGTTGTTTTTTCCCCCCCCAGAGTATCCAGTACATAGAGGGACTGTAGTCATAGAAGGAAGAACGAATGACAGGCTCCATCAGGAAAGTCTAGAACCTGGAGCCGCTCTAGAGATTGGCCGAGATGGGGAATCATGACCACGAAGGACACTGGGTGGAGACCTTCACAGAAGGGCCATGAAGAGTTAGGTGGCCAGGTAGCAGTGGCGCACGCCTTTAATCCCAGCACTTGGGAAGCAGAGCCAGGCGGATCTCTGTGAGTTCGAGGCCAACCTGGTCTACAGAGCAAGCTCCAGGACAGGCACCAGAACTACACAGAGAAACCCTATCTTGAAAAGGTGGAGAAAAAACTAATTAGGTTAAACAGTTGAGAATTTGAGACCAACAATTGCTGCAGTACAGAAGCAGGTTCTTTTCCAATATCCTGTAGCCTTCCTAGAGGATTCCTGAACTAACTCAAGAATTTAGGCAAACTGTTATTTCCAGAAATATAGTCAAGTATCCTTTCACATTACAATTCTAATTTGTGTTTTCTTTTTAAATGCTAAGAATAGACTCAGGTTTTTCTGCTAGGCAGGTGGCCTTATACTTTAGCTATACCCCAAGCCTCTGAAAGGGCATAGACACAGACTATGAGTCTCAACATCCTCATCACTCAGAAGACAGAGGCAAAAGGATCATACGTAAGGCCAGTCTAGGTTCTATAGTTAGACATTGTCAGACATTGTCTCGATTATAAAAATATTAAAAATGTTAAGTATGAGCATGTGTAGATTTCTTAGACTGGAGAAGACTGTCCCCATCTCAGCCATGTCCCCCCATAGACGTGGCATAGCATCTATTCTGTTTGAATTTTTGGTTTAAAAAAATTAGGCCAGGGGCCCCCTTTCAATTTGTTGGACCAGTTCTCCCACGTAGGCTGAGTCAGAGGAAAACCAGTTTGTCTGGCTTGGAAACCAGGATTGCTCTCCTGTGGTCTATCAGAATGGGTGGTAACTTTAGAATTCCTGGGGGATTCCCTGCCCTTCCTAGATCTCTGTCCGGGGGGCTTTGTTACTAGATGACTTTGTGCGGTAAGGTAAGGGGTCCCTAAGGAAGCTTACAGCCTGAGAACTTCAGGAGTCCTGAGGAGTGTGGTGCTCAGTTCTGAGCAGAGTGGCCACAACCCTCATTTCTAAGCCTGGTGAAGAGAAACCAAAGGCCAGAGGGCAGGAGGAAGATGTGTGGTCCCCGCGTTGCTCTGCTTTTTCGCCCTCCAGGATGCCAAGGGTTTGGTGGACTTCCGAAATGTGGCCCTCGCACTGGCAGCCCTGGATGGGGGCAGGAGCTTGGAGGAGCTGATTCGCCTGGCCTTTGAGGTAGGTATCTTTGAGGGACTGTGGGACAACTGCTGATACCGTTTACCCCACAGTTCCATCCCAGGAGGGTGGTATATTACACTGTTCTCAGCTTTTAGATAATGCATGGTCAGTGCCCTGGGAGTGCCACACTACCTAAAACTGCCTATCTGCGGTATCTCCTACTGAGGCCTAGCCGGGCAGAAGGCAGAAGCTAGACATTTTACAGTTACCCTGAAAGAAAGGGCACTAGAGGTCCACGAGGGGCTTATATGTAGAACTCTTGGAAGAAGGGGAGCCCATCGCGTAGGCTTTCCGGGCAGCAGGAGGCAATGTCTGGAGGAGAGAACTTTACAAGCATCTCTTTCTGCCCCAAGCTCTTTGCTGAAGAGCAGGCGGAAGGACCTGGCCGCCTGCTGTACAAAGATGGCTTCAGCACCATCCTGCACCTGCTGCTGGGTTCGCCCCGCCCTGCTGCCACGACTTTGCATGCCGAGCTGTGCCAGCCTGGATGCAGCCAAGGCCTCTCCCTCCGTAAGTCACTGCCTTCTCTTACCCTGCACAGGCACTGGGGTACCACCAGAACCTCTGAGAGGCGAGGTGGGCGGGAAATAGGCAAGTGAGGAAAAGGGAAGCAAAGCTGCATGTGAGAAGGCCAACAGATTAGAGGGACTGGGGGGTTACCGGTTCTAAGCAAAGAGAAGGAAGAGGTGTCCTCTTCACGCGTTTCGGTGATGATACGTTTCTGTTTCCCACTCGCCCTGTCCAGACGAGTTCCAGAACTTCTCCCTCCACGACCCTCTGTACGGAAAGCTTTTCAGTACCTACCTACGCCCCCCACACAAGCCTCGAAGCACCTCCCAGATGCCAGAGGCCTCGTCCCCAAGCAGCCCCACGGCCCTGGCCAACGGGACTGTGCAAGCCCCCAAGCAGAAGGATGACTGAGCACCCCAGCCTCCCACTCCTTCCTCAGCTCGAATCCAGCCCTGCTCTCAGGACAGGCCAGAGGCCCTCCGTACGCCTCAACCCCATCTCTGCTCCTGTTTGGTTTTTTGTTTTTTGTTTTTGTTTTTGTTTTTTTTTTTTGGTTATCATTGTTTGTTTTTTAAGTTTATTTTAATTTTTTGTTTGGTGGGGTTTTTTTTGTAAAAGACTATTTTATATATAAATATAAATATATATCTATTAAAAAAAAAAAAAGAAGAAGCTCGGTCCCATGGGTGGAATCATTAGTTGTGAAGGAAAGAGATGAATGGTTGGTTGCCAGATTTCCATTGGGATTTCTAAACTCTAAAGATTGAACTTGGCCATACCTGAATTCCCACTCACAAATGGACTGGGGTATTTCCTTCATGGAAATCTTACATTAAGTTTGTATCTTCCCCTCCTGTTCCCACCTACTAAATGTGCACATTTTAATAGACTTCTTCATGAACCTCTTTCTCTTCCCATTCCCTCATGCTCTGTCCTCATTAAAGAGATGAAAATATAGCTTACTGCCATTCCATATTTAACAGTCCCACTGAGAGTTTACTCCATCGCCCATACTGGGAGACCTGTGTCAGTAAAGTAGCCTTCTCCAGGTCACACCAACCCCACGGTGCTTCTACAGCAGCATGGGCTGAGGATGTATAAATCCTTCATGTCTGGCCCCTTAAAGGGAAAAGGGTCTCCACATCCCACACCCCAGGTGCTGTATCTTGACACAAATACGTAAAATTAATTAAATTCAGGAAATCAGATCTGAGATCTGACAAATACAAAAAGCATCTTTCCCCACCTATATATTAAAAGGAAGCCAACAATAACAGGTTATCCAGACAAGACCTGCCGATGCCAGGTTCTGGCTTGGGAAGAGACCTAGTCAAGAAGGTGATTCTTAAAGACACTGCAGGGAATCGGCAGACTCTACCTTTAGTGTAAGACTTTGTTCTACGTAGCAGCCAAGATGTTCACACAGAAGAGCACATAGAGAACAGTTTCCAACCAAAAACAAATCTTTATTTTTCCATATAACTTCCCGAAGTTGGTTCCCTTTCCCTTTACTTTCCACTGAAGGGGGCCCCTGCAACCTAGCCAGACTGGTCTTCTGCCCCAGGCTCTCCAGCTTCTTGCACAAGAACAAAAACAACATTGGGCTGGGGCTGCTCCTCCACTAGGAAGCAGCAGCAGTAAAATATACTCTGGGGCCCCCACCTTAGGGTGCTGCTAGGTGGATGGAACAGGATGGCCCTTCGCTTCCTACTGGCTACGACGTCGCTTCTTCCTTTTGCTCGTGACAAAAGTGTCACGCCGCCGTTTACGAGGCTGTGGGAGCTGCACTATTCCCAGAGCAAGGGGTTTCTGCCCGGAACTACCAGGCTGAGCTCCTGGCTGGGGTCTCTCCCCAGCAGTAGCTGGGATCCCAGCTAGGGCTTGCTTCCCAGATGTATGGGGAGTGGGTGAAGGTTGGCCAAGGTCATCTACTTCAGCAGAGGGGTGGGATGTTTTCTGGATTCCCTGACCTCCAGAGGCATGACAAGTACTAAGGGAAAGCCCCCCTGCAGAAAGGCTAAGTTTTGAAGCCAAAAGGTAGGCAAAGTTAGAGAGTTCTTCATCTTCTTCCTCCTCTTTCTCACTTCCTTTGGCCCTATCTGCTGCTGAGTTGTGTGTTTCTCTAACAGATATTTCTCGCAAAACTAAAGCATCCCTAGTTCCCCGTCTAGGGGAAGTACTTCCCAGACCCTGGCAAGATGTTGATTTGGTGGTCTCGAGTGTGTAAGATTCTTGATTACCTTGTAAAGGAACAGGGTCAGTAGGTTTGGAGATAACAGTATCTTCTCTGCCCTCTCCTTGAAGGTTATAAGAATTAAAATTTGATGAGCAGGAATCCTTGCTGACCCCTGGTTGGGGGGCACTGTCATTTCTAACATCTAGTATGTCAACATGTTCTATGTTTTCCAACAGAGGAAAAAGTAGATTACCTCTGCTCTCTGCCTCGCAGCTAGCCTTGGGGAAAGAGGAGGTATCCTGGGTCCCAAGAATAAGGAGATTACCTTGGCATGTGGAAGACCCCAGTGTGGAGGTGTCAAGTGTTTCCAACAGAGGGGAGTGACCTTTAGCCCACAGGTCACTGGGATCCTGTGCTGTCTCGGGGTTCAGCTCTCGATTTTCTTTGGACCTCAAAGCTGGGCCACTGGCCATCAGAGATCCTGGCAAGCTACAGGAGCTTCTCTTTTCTAGGACGGCTGTCGAACCTGTGCCTCCACAGGGAACCACAATGTTCCCCACATCCTCCAGCACTGTGGTTTTCCTAGGACTTGGAGAAACACTGTTTCTGGAATTCAGTACCTGGTCCTCCCTTATACACGCCTCATCTTGGGTGCTGTCTATGACCCTCTCGATTTGTAAGGGTAACTCTAAGCGTACAGCATCCATGTCACCGCTCAGCCACAATCCCGGGCTGAGAGAAACCCTGTCCAGGTTGCCAGGGGCTCCAGGGGAATGGTTCTGATCATAACTCTGAACCGTGGCAGGACCTCTGTCATCTCCCCACATGGCTCTTGAAGAGCCTTCCTGAGATGCTGCTGAAGGGTCTCTCCCTTGAGTAAGCACCCCGACTCCCTGAATCTGTTGCCCTATCTGCAGCCCCAAGGCCTGCTTTTCTAACCCAAGTCCTTGCAGAGGAACTGGCTCTGTAAGTCCAACATCCAAAGTGGAGGCTCTCACGGGCTGGGGACCTTCTTGCCAGCAAAAAGGTAACGATTCCAAATTCCTATCTGCCACTGGGTAGTGCCCAAAGGGCCCAGTACCTCCCAGGTGGCCATCATGATGGGCAGATAGCTGTTTGATAACCTTCCCAGACCCTTTTCTCTCCACGCCCAAGGGTACTTGCATGCCCTGTGAAGCTGAGAGTTCCAGCTGCAGGTCCCAGCTGCTAGAGGATGGCAGAGTGTTTCCATCCTTGTGAATCCCCCTTGGACCACCTAGGGCTTGTTCCTGCCCACCATACACTTCTCTTGCCTGCTTGCCTGGAGAAGCAGATTTTCCAATGTGAACAGTGCCCGCAGCCCCCTGAAGCCCAGGTGAGGGCCGAGGCCTCCGACCCCCATCTTCATCTTCATCAGAAACTGAAAGACTTGAGTCTGACTGAGCTCCGCTGCAACTTGGAGGTGCCTGCGCATCTTCCTCCTCCAAGGCCAAGAGTCGTTTCTGGACCAGCTGAAAGGGAATGGACAAGTGCCAGTTCTGTCATGGTCAGGAGAAGAGCTGGCGGAGTGGATGAGAGGAGATGGTAGGTAGACAATGTGGGGAAGAAAAGCAAATGCTTAGGGGGTGGTATTGAAGATTGGTACTGCAGCTTTTTCCCCTTTTGGGGGCTTTATTCCTCTGCTGTGAGCCTTTCCTCTTCCATACACTTCATCACGCGATCCCCTCCCTCCCTCCCTTGTTCTAGACCCAGAGCCCAACCCTAAATCCTCTGTAACAGAATCAGGATATCAAAGGGTTATACATAATCAGGCAGCCTCCTTTTCCTAGTGTTCCATGCCTCCCAAGTTTACCTGGGCAAGAGTAAGTCCTTCTTCTTGCTCTAGTTCCTCAATTAAAGCCAAAGGATCTCTCTGCTCCTCTTGGGACAGCAGATCTGCCAGAAACTGAGGGTGAATGACCGCCTCCACCTGGGGAACAGAAAGAAGAGTGGTGTGAATCTTGGTGTGAAGGGACCTGGAAGCCCAGGTGCTCCAGAGACAAAGTGATGAGGCCTATGCCCCCACTTGGAGTTTGTTATAGACCATGACTACCACCAGCTACCTATGTGTGCATACATGTATACCCATTTCCAAACTGTAGAGTGGAGCCTCCTGCCATATGCAGAATCCCAGATGGCTGGTGCCCCATAGTGTCCAACCAACAAATATCTATTAGAAATTAGCCATGTAGCTGGGCATGTGTGGTAGCACACACTTTTAATCCCAGCATTAAAAGCAGGTGGACTTTTGTGACTTCAGGTCCAGCCTGGTCTTCTACAGAGCGAGTTCCAGAGTTCTAGGACAGCCAGGGCTATACACAGAGAAACTGTCTCAGGAGGAGGAGGAGGGCGAGGAGGAGGAGGAGGAGGAGGAATTAGCCATGTAGACTCAGCTCACCTTGGAGACAAAGACCTCCTGGGAGCACAGTTCCTCAATGTAGCTCAGCAGACTTGTATCCGGATACATCCCCGAATCCTCCAGCTGCTCCTCTTCCTCCTCTGCCTTCCCGGTGTCCAAGTGGCTCCCCAGAAGCCCTTCCATGATGTCTATATATTCTTGCACAGCTTCTGGTGGGATCTCCTTGGGTGCCTCAGGAACCGGGGGCCGTTGGGGTTTGCGCTGCCGCCGGCGGGGAGCCCGTGTCTTAGAGGCCGCCTTCTTGGGAATGTACACTGAGGGAAGAGATGGGGAGTGTGAAAGAAGCCATGGTATCTACTGTCCAGCAATGCTTGTAAGGGAAGAAACCTAGGGACAAGAAATGTTTCCAGAACAGGATCAAGCTTCAAGGGAGAAAAGGTAAAAGCTGGAAGGTATGAGAAAGAACACCGTTGTTAGAAATCTTTCTATACACCTTGACATTCCAAGAAACTGCCTGCTCCAACCCCCATTTCTTAGGCTGATGAAGTATAGGGCGCATGCACAACCTAAATGAGAGAATAGTTAGTTCACTGGGCCAAGATCAATAGTTAATTCAAGACCATAAGACCCCAGCTTCCTATGGGGCATTGCATTTGGCTCATAAAATGTCACTTCCAGGACAGAATGTCACAGAAGCAAAAACACTGTCATCTGGTTTGTGGGTGGCCTTACCTGGCTGCTGGCAAGCCTCAGGGACCAGGGGCCCTGGGTCAAGTTTCAAAGGGTTCACAGGGGACAGACCCGGGGAGCCATTCATCAGCTGTGCGTTCTGGATCTGCATCTCCTCCTCCGCCTCAAACTCCATGAACCTGCAGGGGGTAAAGAAGGCATGGGCTGTGCTGAGAAGGAGACCTAGCCCATCCACACACAACCCAGACACCAGGCAGCCAGCATCCACAATCACCCTCATTTTGACTAAACACGGTTGAAGTCGGGTCAGCCCGGGGAAGCGGCTCACAGGTAGCCTAATGACATTTCTGGGGAATAGCATCATATTGTCTCTTTACCTTAACTGTCACTTGAGAAGCTGATTAAGGAAACTGGCAGTATAGAGCTTGGGTAATTCTCCAGGACAAAGTGGTATCCTCCTCCTCCTCCTCCTCCTCCTCCTCCTCCTCCTCCTTCTTCTTCTTCTTTGT